TCTGTATCAATACGCGACGTGTTGCGCGTTGCGTATCGGGGCAGCTACGGGCGCAGCGTGTCGCCGGCGCCGCCGTGGCGATACGCCAAGCAAAAGGTCCTGGACTGTGGCCTCTCGCTGCGGCTGTCGTGCGTTGCGGTGGCGCCGGGGCGAAGGGCGGAGGGCCCTCGCGGAGCAGGGCCATGGGGGGACAGGGCGGTTCGCGGAGAGCTGCGGATTGATCGAGGTCAGTTTCCAGTTTGTACCAGCTTGAGGCATCAGAGTCAGGGATCCGAACGGTCTTACACCGTACCTGGGTGCGTGGCTGAAGTGGGTTCCGCGGCGCGGATTCTGCGTGCTGTTGTTGCTGTTCGTGCTGTTGAGGTTTCATTTCCAATAGAAATTTGTTGTTGATTCTCCCCCTGGTGACCATTACACTTTTCAATGAATGTGTTCTTTCCGAGGCTCGCACCCTGTTTTCTGTCAGGGAAAGCTTGTGGTCACCAAACTGCGCCCTTGGCCTTCGGTTTACAGCAACAACGGTTCCCGCCGGAGATTCCCTCACAATTTCTTTCAAGTGCACGTCCTCGCGCGGGACCTTTGAAAATGTTATCCAGGAGTCGCCCTCGCGCATGCTTCTCCGTCACATTGAACTGCGGCGCCGCGCCCCCCAAACTCACAAATGACGCGTTCACTTTGGACAACCCCGTCGTCTGGGCCCGCCCGCCCGACCTACCCGTTAGGGTCTGCCCGCCCGATACCGCTTGTGCTGCTGCTCCTAACCCTCCTCCTGCAAATTTCTCCCGTGCTCTATCCTTCTCCCCGCCCCTTGTCTCTTCACTCCTCTCCTCCTTCCCCTGCTTTCGGGGCTGCGCAAACTACAAGGTGCAGGTAGGGAAGCTGTACCCCCAAAAGGGGGTACGATCGAAGACGAAAAGGGCGGGTACCAAGGGTTTGGGATATACGTGTTGAATGGCACGCGATCAGACATGAGCGAACAGTATTAGAATGATGGGAATCTCAATGTTGAAGAATCGTTATTGTTGATCCCCTCACCTCCGGCGCACATTGTATTTGTGTTCGCGCTCTGTCTTTGATCAGGGAGATGGATGGTCAATTGATGGTCAAACTGGCTCCCTGGCCCCCGAACAACAAAGATATTGTTCAGGCTGTTCGCTTTTTAGCTGCTCGCGCGCCATTCAACACATCCCAAACCCTCGATACCCGCCCTCATCGTCTTCGATCGTACCCCTTTGGGGGTACATTTTCACTACCTGCCGCGTGTACTTGGTGCAGTCCCTGAGGCAAGGGAAGAGGAAACGCATGGATGGGGGGAGGGAGACGAGTGGAGCACGGAATTATCAGGAGGGGGGCTTGGAGCAAAAAGCACGTGGCAGAACCAGACGGGCTGATCGGGCGGTCAGACCCTAGCGGGCGGGTCGGGAAGGCGGGCCTAGGAAACCAGGTCGAGCAAGCGGGGTGCTGAAGCGTGCGTCCTGCATGTATCGCGAGGAAGTCTCGAGCGATAGCGCGATTCCCAGATACATCGCAAGAAATCCACAGCGAGAGCGTGAATCCTTTCATGGTACCTCCTATATTCCCTCTCCCTGATCTCCCGCCCGAGGAGGCACATCGCCTTTGCGATCTCCCTGCCCAGGCCTTGCTTCTGTGTGTCACGACGCTTGAGTGGCCTAAGACTTCTGGGAGAGGCCTCGCAACCTTCGGGGGAGCCTCGCGGAGAGCCCCCAGAGCCTCTGAGAGAAGCTTCAGAGTTTAAGCCCCACAAGCTTTCGACCCCTTCCCGGGGGCGGCTTTTGCGTCGGCCGTTGTCTGATGGCGCCAGTGCTCCTCGTTGTCGTCGTCGCCGCCGCTGCCGCCGCTGCCGCCGCCGCCGCCGTCGTCCGACGTCGTGGTCGTCGTCGTGGTCGTCGTCGTCGTCGTCGTCGGGCCCAGAAACGGCCTGGGGGTCTCGACTTGCCGGGGATGTCTCAGGCGAGGGCGCCCGTTCGGGAAATGCGCCAGGTTTCGCCAGAGTCGCCCGGCACAGGACAGGAAAGCTGGCGAGTCGCCGGAAACAGATCAGGAAACTGGCGTGGAAGCTGAGGAAGGAAAGGGGGGAATGAGGGAGAGGGGTGGGAAGAGAGGGAAGGCTCCGACGACTGGTGTGATAACAAGCGTGAGGGTTGGAAAAATAGAAGGGGAAGCGGGGGACTTGTAGGGAATCCTGGCGATATAGAACAATCGGACAAAGTTCGGGAAAGCTGGCGGGGAGAAAAGCGGGGGAAATACCATGCAAAATGCGAGAAGTTAGGGAGAGAGGACGGAGTGAGGGAGAGTGGGGACGACGACGACGGCGGCGGCGGCGGCGACGACGACGGCGACGACGCCACGCCGCAGGACGCGAGCGAGAGCGGGGTCGCGTTGAGCAGGCGCGGGAGCGCGAAACCGCGCTCAGGGCGTCCAACAATAGTTGTTGTTCAGTAGTTGTTCGATGAAGGTTCACTCGGAAAACCTCAGGGCCTCCTGGAAATGTTGAGTCAAAGCGGACGACGTATCGAGCGGGAGCGTCGTTGTTTGTACGGGCTTTAAGGCGGGAGCGACGGTCCCGAGGTTGAAAAGCAGGGAGGCGTCGAGCAGGAGCATCGATTTTGTTGGAGAGTCGGCTGCGGGGGGCGAGCGAAAGCCCCAGCCCCGAGCGAGACAGGAGGAAGCAGCGAGCCGAAGCGTTGTTGTCGTCGGGGGCCCGGTTTTGGAGCACCCCCGAAACGTCCGAACGCCAGCCCAATTTTTACTGGAAGCGCAACCGGCGCCTGGGCGAAAGCGTGTAAGCGCATTCGCGGTGTCCAACAATAGTAGTGGTTTAGTAATTAAGGTTCAACAGCGGCTCCCGCCTTAATCTTTCCTCGTAGTGTATTTTGAAATCGCGCTCTGGCTTGAGACTTCCTCACGTTTTGGTGCCTTTTTGGCCCGTTTTAAAACCCTCCGTTCCCCCATGACGCGTTCGGTCCGGGGTCGTCCTGGGCCATCGGGCGGGGTCGACTTAATTGCTGGTCAAGGGTCCCCGGGAGGTGATTCTGGGGTGGATGATATCACGCGCCTAGAGACCCACATAGGGTCGGCGGATTACGAAGGTGACGGTGGCGATGATGATTGCGACAACGACAAAGACAAGGAGGAACATGGTCCTGACGATGGTGATGGTACTGTATTTTCGTATTGTTATTTTTTTACGAGTGTAATCGTAGTGATGATGACGGCGGCGATGATGACAACGACGACGACGGTGATGATGACGATGAGGATGAGGAGGATGAGGGGGGAACGGTGATGAGGGTGAGCATGTGTACGGCTACGGCAGGTTGTGCATGATCGTGTTGTCCGAGCTGTTGCAGCCACCCCCTGGCCTGCGCTAGACCCAGAGCGCGCGCGCAGCGCCCGCGATGCTTCAAATACCGATTTACGAGGTACGTAATTCTAAACAGGATTTTCGACGTGATGGAAGATTTGATGATGGATCTTAGAGAGCTCTTGAGAGGATCTCGGGAGGCTGCGTGGAGGGTCTTGAGAGCTTCCTGACATGATCATGAGGTGTTCTTGGGGTGTTCCTTTTAAGCCCCTGACAAGTCATGCTGGGGCTCTTGGGAGGGCTTCATTGGTAGTCACCGGGAGGCCTGTTCGACATTCTCGGGTCGATATTTGGGAGTTTCATTGACCGTGTAGAAGAGTTGGAAGCCCGAAACCTTGAAAACGATCGCTTTCGCGGAGAACCGAATTCTATTGTTTCCCGTATGATTTTGCCATTGTGTGACCACGTTGGGGATCTTCTGTAGCTATTTTAGGGCGCCTTCGGTCTGGTTTGGGCACCTGGGAAACCTCTTTGGGGGCTCTTGGCTTGTTATGAAAGACCACAGGCCACGTTGTTCGGGAAGCTTCAGGGGTCACGCGGTCACACGCGAGCAGCTCAGGAAGGCAAGGGCATGAGCTTCCAGGCGCCTCAATGCATACACGCTATATTCAGCAAGTTCTGAGGATTGAGGTCTCCAAAAGGGCCTGCGCACACCGCACTCAATGACGTTTTTCGGGGCACGGTTGCGTGCAACTGAAGGTCTGTGTTGCGATGGTGCTGGTGGATTCCGCGGAGAACGAATGACAGCCAAGGTTGTTGGAGTCGCGTTGGTCTTATGTCGGCCAGGCCGCCAAAAAGGCAATTTAGTTGTTCAATTCACAACTCCATCTGGATTTGTCGGTGGATCTCCTGGGGGAGGTTCCAGTTCCTTTCGAAACGCCACTAAAAAAGCTGAACGAGCCGCTCCAGGGGAAGATCAAGATGACGCCCTCTATCACAGAATGTCCACCAATGCCAGCTTGGCTCCATCAAGAAACGTACACTGTTCAACCTGATGCTCCGCGTGCGCTCTTTTGATGGGCCTCCTGGTCATGAGCCCCGTGGAAAGAAGTCAGCGCCAGGGTAGTTGGAGTTTCCAGGGTCGGCCAGACAGGGCGATCCAGACAGGGTTTGGCCTTCGACGGGTCGAGGAGTTGACGTCTTGCCCTGGGGGGAAGCTGAAGGAAGACCAGCGGAAGCCAGCGGAGGTGAACCGAGGACGGCTTTGTCAGCGAAAGTTTTCGACAAGTCGGCGGAAGGAGGCGGAAGTTAATATATGTTCACCCCGTTTTGAGAGAGGGTAGCTCGGGTGAGATTCATGTGAGCTTCTGGGGCCGACCAGGTACCCAGGTCTCCGATCTCTCGAATGAATCTGAGTGCATCTTGGATTACGGCTTTGGGAGTTTCTGGACGTTTCTAGGTTGCAGGCCACTACAGAAGACGGCCTCGGATGAAACAGGAGCCCTTGGGAACAGATCGCATTCGGTGGTGCCCATGGGGTGAACAAGTCACGATGTCGGGAATCTGTGTTTCAGGATTCGGCAATGCTTGTTCCCGTTATCGCCATGGCACGTGCTATCCCCGTCTTCGGCACAGTCGTCTTCATCGAGGTCGACGTTGCAACCATTCCGAGCCAGCCAGAACCATACTGGGTCAAACCAGGCTTGGGTGCGCTGGCACAACCGATACTGTACTGAGGGGATGCATTCGTCCAACATGTATAACTGCGCTGCTCCATGCCGCGCGATGCGGATCTTGATGGCACTCGCCGGGTCTATTCTACCTAGTATTCCATTCGCCACGGGTGTTTCGCGCGATCATCAAACATTTCCCTCGCTCTCCACTTGGAGACACTTGTTTGCGCGAAAGCACGCAGTTGCGACGCCGTCGCCAACAACTTGTGTTGACTCTGCAGGGGGGGCTACGAACAGATTTGGCAAAGGGTGTGAAGCTTATTCGCACGATTACGAAAACCCTTTTTCAGGCATCTGCTTCGACCCGTACTATGACGATTCGGATTTCACGTCTGGTTCAATGTGCTGCGTGTGTCCAGAGGAGTGCCCCGACCTGCCACGCATACGTCTCGAAGATAACTGTGAGGATTGGGTTTCCTTCTCGGACGCCAACACCGATGGGGAAAACCCAGGAAGATCACATCATTCGAATCTTGGTGGGCTGGGCCCGCAGTTTCACATGCCGAATGAGCTTAGATATTATGGCATTGGACGGACCGCAGATGGGTCCCCCTTGGACGTCACCTTCACTAATACAAGCCTGTATGTTCCGAGGAACACGGATTGGAACAGCATTTTTGGCGCCATGGCGACTGTGAATCTCCTAACCGGCGAGTCTGTGACTCTCAAAGGGGAGTTTGTGCGAAATCATTCTTTCTGCCCTGAGTTCCCAGTCCGGCCAAAGATCACGTTTTGTGACGTTGACCACTTCAAGGATGGGGAGAATGAGGTTGTGTTACTCGACGGCATTAGCGCCGTCTACACGGTCGACGGCGACATCGACTTCGACATGGAGTTGTACGAATACGATACCATCACCAGCAACAACCCAGCTCTGCTGGCTTACAACACGACCTCGGTCCAGACGCCGATCCCTGGTAGGAGCTCCAGGAAGCTAGGGGAAGAAGAAGCCAAGCCGCAACAGGAGGGACAAACGCCCCATCCCCCAAATGTTGGCCAGGGACCTCACCCCATCGAGAAAGGCCCCGAGCCGAACCTAAGTGTCCCCTGCAGTTTGGTTACCGTGGTTGCTGCTATTACCTTCTCTTCTTCTGGACTGTCTTGATAAGTCGGAGTCTCTCCTCAGGCCGCGATGGTGGCACCCATATCGTGCGTCCGTTGCGTCGCGTTGTGTGTGTCTATTTGTTTGGTGGGGAATTGACTCAACATCCGCATCTGGCTTCCCATTTCGGGCCTCAGGACCTGCACGCATCGATCGGTTTTGGGGGAAAAACATGCCAGGATGGATCCCCAGGAGGGGTAGGGGTCCAGGGAATGATGCTGAGCGGATGTCGGTGGAGGGCGAGCAGGGCGTCGGACGGGGCTAGGACGAGGATAAATCCGTTTCAGAGCGTTCCCGAACGCTATCAGAGCTTTCCGGAACGCTCTGAGGAGGACGCGGCGCCCCAGACATCCTCCAGAGCTCGCGGATCTCAGAGATTCCCGAGTTATTATCATCCGATGTTATGTTTGCCTTGGCTTCGTCTTAGGATGAGGGTCGAGGATCGTCGAGTTTTGTTTGTGCTGGGACGAAGCAGAACCAAAACAACTCCTTTCTGGCATTGGCAGGGCCTCCCTCTCCTCAGGATGTACGTCGCCAATTCTGGGGGCAAGTTCGGGATCAAGGTGACCTCGTCGATGTTCGGGCACGGCTGCGACAACCCAGCGGACCCGAACAACCTGACCAACATCACCTGCCCAACCGCGTCGTCCGTCACCGTGGATCAGGCGAGGATGACAAGGAGTAGGTAGTGGAGGGAGGGAGGGAGGACGACAAGGAGAAGTAGGCGGGGGAGGGAGGGAGGGAGGGAGGGAGGGAGAATGAGGAGGAGGGAACGGTGGATTTTCGAAAGGAGTCAGCGGCGTCGTTGGTCTTCAGGTGGTCGGATACACAGCGCCACGCGGCACATCCAGTCGTACCACCATCGGGGAAATGCCTTGCTGCGTCAGCGACACTCGATTGGGCTTCTTTCCTTCTTGAGGAAGCGGAGCCGAACAACTAACACATCTAATATCGCCACAATCACAGGGTCTCGGGATCCGCATTTGAGGACCATAGCCGGGGTTGAACGCCTACCATGATTTTGTTCCCGAGTGCCTCGGCGGCTTGCAGCAGTTTCTTCAGCCCGTCTGTCAGAGCCCTGAGCCTTCTGGAGACGGTCCACCCCCTCGGCATCGAAGACGCCTACGGCGAATCACCGCCGCACTCTGCCTTTCGGAATCGCCCATGTGGCCGAGCGTTGTGGCAGGAGCTCTGCCAAGCTATTAGACCATGTGCTTCCCCAGCCGTTTTGGAAGGCCTTCGGGGAACACTTGGGTGAGCACGGCGGGGAAGATCAGGAGCATGATCAGGAGGAGGAGGAGGAGGAGGAGGAGGAGAAGGAGGAAGAGGAGGAAAAATCTTGGGAGCATCTCGGGGCACTCTTGGGGCCTCCTGGGAGCTTCCTGGGAGCCTCTTGGAGGCATCTTGGGGGTTCCCTTGGGCCTCCAGGGGGCCCTTGGCGGCTTCTCGGAGGCTTCTTTGCTCGTTTCAGGGCGTTCCTGGCCCGTCTGACGCCGTTGGAAGTCGTCTTTGGGGTCTCTCTGGGCCTTGGGGCCCTCTTTGGGGCCTCTCTGGGCCTTCTTGGGGCCTCGTGGGCCGTTCTGGAGCCATCTTGGCGGCCTCTTGGGCGATCTTGGGGTGATCTTTCTGGGCTCTTGGGCCGTCTCAGGCCGTTGAAAGGCTGAAAAGGAACAAATGCTAGCATCCGCTTGAACACCCTAGGTTCGATCAATCATTTGGGTCTCTTCGAGCCTTCTTGGAGGCCTTCTTGGGGGCCTCTTCGGCCGTCTTGGAGGCCTCTTGAGGGACCTTCTGGGCCGTCGTATGTCATCTTGAGGCCATCTTGCGCCGTCTTTGGTGCATCTTGGGGCCATGTTGGGGTCTCTTGGGGCCATCTTGGCAGTCGTGGAGGCATCTTGGAGGCCAACTTGAGACATCTTGGCCGTCGGAGAGGCCATCTTGAGCCGTCTTGAGGGTTTGCGGACGTTGAGGTTGTTTCCGGTCCTTTCTGGGTGGCCGGCGCAATGGACAGAAGCCCCAGGGGGAGTTCTTTTGGAAAAGAACCACAAGCAGCATAGGATTCAGCACGCCAGGCAAACCTGTGGCACGCCAACAGGGGACGGCGGATCGAACACGCCTACGACGAATCACCGCCGCCCCCTGCCCCTTTTGAAGCGACTATTTGGGCGACAGCTGGGCTTGAGCTTGGCCAAGCTATCGGGTCAGTTGTTCCCCACGTCGGTTTGGAAAACCTTCAGGGAACGCGTGGGGGAGCAATAGGAGGAGGATCAGGAGAGGGATGATGATGATGATGATGATGATGATGATGATGATGATGCTGATGCTGATCCTGATGATGATAATGATGATGATGATGATGATGATGATGATGATGATGATGATGAAGATGATGAAGCTGATGATGATGATGATGATGATGATGATGATGATGATGATGATGATGATGATGATGATGATGATGATGATGATGATGATGATGATGATGATGATGATGATGATGATGATGATTGGGAGGAGGATGAGGATGAGGATGAGGATGAGGATTATGGGGAAGGAGGAGGAGTAGGAGGAGGAGGAGACTTCTTGGGAACCGTCTTACGAGGCCTCTTGGGAGGCCTCTGCGGAGCTTCCTGGGAGCCTTTTGGAGGCCTCTTGGGAGCCTCCCTGGGCTTCTTGGGGGCCACTTTGGCCGTCTTAGGGCTTTCCCGACCCGTCTGACACCGTCGGAAGTCGTCTTGGGGGCCTCTCAGAACCGACTTGGGGCCCTCTTGGGGCGCTTCAGGGCCGTCTTGGAGAGTATCTTGGATGTCTTTGAAGTCGCCGTCTTGGGGGCCTCCTGGGCCGTCATGCGGCCATCTTGGAGGCCTCGTGGCCGATCTTGGAGCGATCTTGAGGGTTTCTTAGGCCGTCGGAAGGCCGTCGGAAGGCCGACGAGGCGCAAATGCCAAAATCTTTCGAACACACTTGGACAAAATCAATGATTTCGGCCTCTTTGCGCTCTCCTGGAAGACCTCCTGGACGCCTTTTTGGGCCGTCTGGGAGGCCTCTTAGGGGCCTCTTGGGCCGTCTTGGGCCATCCCGAGGCCATCTTGGGCCGTCTTGCGTGCATCTTGGGCCGTCTTGGAGGCATCTTGGAGGCCATCTTGACCGTCTTGGAGGCCTCTTGGGGCCCTCTTGGGGCCGTCTTGGGAGCCTCTTGAGCCGTCATGGGGCCATCTTGGAGTCCTCGTGGGTGATCTTGGAGCGATCTTGGGGGCCTCTTGGGCCGTCTTGAGCCGTCGAAAAGCCGAGAAGAAGCTAATGCCCAAATCTTTCAAAAAGAAACCAGAGGAATCAATGCATTTGGCCTTTTCGGGCCCTCCTGGAGGACCTCTTGCAGGCCTCTTGGTCCGTCTTGGAGGCTTCTTGGGCGTACTTGAAGGTATCTTGGGCTCTCTTGGGCCGTCTTGGAAGATCTTAGGCGAACTTGAGGGCCATTTCGGGCCATCTGAGCTGTCTTGGAGGCTATCTTGGGCCATCTTGGAGCGGGACGGGCATTGACATGTGCAGTTTCCGGTCCTTTCCGGGACCCCAGCGGGCTGGGCCGAAGCGCCAGGGGGGGGAGTTCTTTTGGAAAAGAACCAAAACCAAGACCGAAAGGGTTCAGCACGCCAGGCGCCCCTGTGATGAATCAACAGGGGGCGGCGGATTGGAAGCATCTTGGAGGCCATCTTGGCCGTCTTGGAGGCCGTCTTGGGCGTCTTGGAGGCCTCTGGAGCCGTCTTGGCGCCCTCTTGGGGCCGTCTTGGGGGCCTCCTGGGCCGCCCTAGGGCCATCTTGGAGGCCTCTTGGGGATCTTTCGGGCTCCTTGGGCCGTCGTAAGCCGTCGCAAGGCTCGAGAATAATGACAACCAAAATCCGAAAAAAAATGAAAACATGGATTTTGACCTCTTCGGGCTCTCCTGGAGGACGTCTTGGAGGCCTCTTGGGCCGTCTTGGAGGCCTCTTGGAGGCCTCTTGGAGGCCTCTAGGGCCGTCTTGGGTCGTCTGAGAGGTTTCTTGTGCGAATTTGGAGGCATCTTGGACCCTCCTGGGCCGTCTTGGAGGCCATCTTGGACCGTCTTAGGCGAACCTGGAGGCCATCTTGGCCATCTTGGAAGCCATCTTGGAGCCATCTGGATCATGAGCAACTTTTGAAACCACCCGGCGAGCGGGGCCGAAACCCCAGGGGGAGTTTGGAAAAAGAGCCAAAACCAAAAGCGAAAAGATGCAGCACGTCGGGCACCCTTGTGATGAATCAACATGGGGCGGCGGATCGAAGACGCCTACGGCGAATCACCGCCGCCCCCTGCCTTTGTGGAAGCGCCTATGTGGCCGAACGTTGAGGCCAGAACTACCAAGCTATCGGACCATGTGTTCCCCAAATCGGTTTGGAAAGCCTTCGGGGAACACGTGGGCATCTTGAAGGTCATCTTGGCCGCCTTGAGGCCATTTTGACCCTTTCGGGCTTTCTTGGAGGACGGCTTAACGGCCTCCGAGATGGCCGTCTTGGAGGCCATCTTGAGCGACTTGGAGGCCTCTTTGACCGTCTTAGGGGCCTCTTGGGGCAGTCTTGGTCCTCTTGGGCGATCTTTGGGGGCACTTGGGCCGTCTCGGGCCGTCGGAAGGGAACAAAAAAGCTAATGCCACAATCCTTCAAAAACTCATGGGCCTTGGAGGCCTTCCCGGAGGCCCTCTTGGAGGCCTCTTGGGCCGTCTTGGGCCATCTTGGTGGGCCCCTGGCCCGTCCGACGCTGTTGGAAGCCGTTGGGGGGCCTCTCTGAGCCGACTTGGGGCCCTCTTGGAATGCTCCAGGGCCGTCCTCCTAGGCCGTCTTGGGGGCCTTTTGGGACTTCCTGATCTGCTCGCAGTTCAGTATCGCGCACTCGGCGAGCTCGGTGCGCCGGGGCCCCACGCGCGTTCGCCGTTCCAGCTGCGACGGTCGGAGAACTCCCAGTCCTGCTCGACGACGATCATTGAGGTCCGTGGGCTCACAGGCACTCGCTAGCATCCGCCTGCTTCCGCCTCCTGGCCCCGAGCTTCCTTTTTCAACACTACGCCCGCAAGTCTCAGCAATAGGGCGTCTCGTGGCGGGCTTCGCTAAAAGGTCAACCGAAACCGGCGCGACGGAAGCACGCCCTCGAGCTGGGCACGGCGCGCGCGTTGCCTGGCGAGATCGACGAGCGCGGTCACTTTTCTGGACGCCGCGGTGGTCGAGCCCACAGCGGCCGCCGCGCGGGCATGAGTGGGCCACGGCGACGGCGAGCCCGCCGCCCAGCGGCGGCAGGAGCAGGTGCGCCGTGCCGAGAAAGTCGAGAAGGCCGCGCACTTGGCGATCGCGGTGCGCTCCGAGGCCCCCGCGCACTACACCGACCTCAAGGTGTCCAAGCAGGGGGCGGGCGTGGCCGTCGGGTACCGCGACGCCCTCGAGGGGCCGTCCAAGAACGCCATGCAGGCCGCCGCTAGGATCCCCCGAGGGGTCTGTGCCATCGGCCCTGGCGAGGAAGGCCCTCCAAGCAGCAGCGAAACGGTCCAAGTGGATGGCTCTGGGTGGCGAGGTGGGTCGAGCGCGCCTCGCGCGAGGTCAGAGGCGAGGGCCGCGCGCCGCCCACCAGCATCAACATGGCGCGCGTTCGAGGCAACGAGTGGATCCGGAAGCCTTGGGGCGCGAGCGACAGCAGCTCTGCCGAGGCCGAGGCCACGAGCGAGGGCAAGGCCCAGCTGCCGACGGACCCGACCGCGCGCGAGCCATAGCGCGAGACCTTCGAGGGGCCTCTCGCGGCAGCCCATGCGCGCTCCAAGCGCTTGCCCCCCATGGGCCACTCCATGGGGCGCCGGGGCTGCGTGGGCGAGTGTTTCGAGATAGTTCGCATGATAGGCCCCCTGGCGAGGGGCGCCAAGGACCTGGGGGGGCGGGCCAGCTATAGTATCTCAATCGAGCAGGCGCCCTGGCCGAGGGCAAGACAGAAACGTCCTCGTCGATCATCTTCTATGATCTCCCCTGGGCAAATCTTTTGTCGTCGTCCACTACCGTTTATTATCGTCTAGGTTTAGACATTAATCACGAGGAAGTATCAGGCGGGGGCCACTGTTGCTGTAAACCGGTGGCCAGGGGCGCAGTTTGGTGACCGCATGATTTCCCCAGATCGAAGAACACGGTGCGATCCTCTAGAAAAGCGGTTTAAGTGACAAGTGGAATGGTCACTGGGGGACCAATAATAGGTATTGCTGGAAATTTGCATTCGTTTGCCACATCAGTAACAGCAACACCAACAGCACAAGCAAGAGCAGCAACAACAATAATCAGTTGACGGGCGTTCGCTCTTATGTCCTCGCTTACTTTTTTCTGCACCCTTTTCCCGAACCCTTGGTGCCCTCTCTCTTCGTCTTCGATCGTGCCCTCTTTGGGGGGATCTCTTTTTGACCTGACACGCGCATGTCGCGCAGAACTTGAAACAAGGGGCGGGGAAACGGATGGAGGGGAGAACGCGGGAGAATCTCATTAGCAGTAGAGGGGCTAGAAGCAGAAAGCACGTGTCATAACCAAACAGACAGATAGGGCAGGCAGACCCTGGCAGACGGGTCGGGGACGCGGGCCGAGGCGGCCAGGTCGAGCAGGCGGGTTGCTGAAGCGTGAGTATAGCATGAATTACGAAAGCGTCTCGAACGACAGTTCGATTTCCAAGTGAATCGCGCGGGCGGTCAACGCGAGAGCGTGACTCTTGAGACTGACAGGGGACACGGCGCCGCAATACATTGTTAGGAAATACCACGTGAGAACCTGAATCCTACATTCACAGTTCGGAATTCTCGCGCGAAGGGGCGATAAAGAAATTCATTATAAGGAACTCTCGGGCGGGAGCCGCTGTTGTTTTAAACCGGCGGCCAAGGCGCAGCTTGATGACCACAGGTTCGAGGAAAAAATGGGTGCGAGTCCCCAGAAAAGCATGTTAATCAAGCGTTCGATGGTCACCGGGGGGAAATAATAATGTTTTTGCATCGGAGAAACCAGCCGCAACTATTACCATTTTAAGACTGATCGCTCTTATCTGTTCGCGTGCCATATCCCAACCTCTCGATACTTGCCTCTTTCGTCTTGGATCGTGCCCCTTGAACAGTCGTTCCCTCTTACCTGCACCGTGTATTTCGCGCAGCCCCGAAAAGGCAGGCGGGTTGCTCAAGCGTGCTTCCTGCAGGAATCGCGAAGGGGGTTCGAGCGACAGCGCGACTCCCAAACAAACCGTGAGGAAATCCACAGCGAGAGAGTGATTCCTGAGAGTCGAAGGCGCGGCGTCTGAATACATTGCGAGGAAGTCCCACGCGAGAGCGCGATCCGTTCATACCTTGTGAGGATGCCGCGTGAAAACGCGATTTCGGAATCATGCGTAAGGAAGTGTAAGGGGGGAACCGTTGTTGTTGTTGTTGAACATTATTTATTCTAAAGAATAATTATTGTTGGGCCCCCTGGTGTGTGTACAGGATCCGGTTGTTTTGTTGTAATCCGCTTTCCCTTGCAAAAAACAATAGAAAATGACATTTCTTGTTCTAATATAATCAAATTTCAAGAATCCCTTGCAAAAAATAAGGTAAAGTGGACATTCGCGCGCGCAAGACGAAATCCTTCCAAAACCTTAGTGTTCGCAGCGATTTTAACATAAAAACATCAAAAAACCAATGGTTTTTCAACAAAAAATTGTCAAAATCTCATCCCGCGCGCTCTTGCGGATTCGTAGGAAACCCAACACTTTTTAAACATTTCTGTCAAACGGGCTTTTGCGAGCAACTTTTTCGAACTTCTGCGACAACGGTTGCGCACCTGCCAGGGCCATCATCCCTGTCAAATAATACCATGCGGGACACATTCGTTTTTTCTTCGCGCGCGCACGCCGTCGTCGTCGGCCGCGGGGCCCTGAATAGTAGCCACGGTCGTCCGCATGCCACGAAGTGAAGTGTCCGAACGTCATAGGGCGGGAAGCTGGGTGTGGGTGGTGGCGAAGAGTCGTTTGGAAATTTGGTAGAGCTTGAACCGGCCCCCCCACAAAGTGGGGGTATTGCCCGCCTCATATGAAAACCCTGGCACTGGTGAGAACGGAGTGTCCCCACGTGCTAGTAATTGTTGTTGTTGTTGTTGTTGTTGTTGTTGTTGTAAGCCGGGGCCCACCAATTTGGTATGGTGACGCCCCATTTTCCTTTTGTGAAAAAGGCAGCGTGCGAGCCCTGGGAAGAGCAGCTTAGATGAAACATGTAATGGATACTAGGCAGGGGGATCAACAGCAACAGCGACAGCAACAGCAACAACAACAACAACAAAAGCGACGACGACAACAACAATAATCACTTCAAGAGTGTTCGCTCATATTTGTTCGTTTACCTCTCCACACCCGTTTCCCAAACCCTCGGTGCCCGCCCTCTTCGTCTTCGATCGTACCCCCTTGTGGGCGAATATAGCGCATTTGGCGCAGCCCCTGAAACAAGGAAAGAGAGGACAGACGGAAGGGGAAGGAAAAGGATGGAATACGAGAGAAATTAACAGTGTAGGAGGCTAGGAGCAGAAACCACGTGGCAGAACCAAACGGGCAAGTCGGGCGACAGACCCTGGCCAGCGGGTCGGGGAGGCGGGCCCAGGTGGCCAGGTCGAGCAGGCGGGTTGCTGAAGTGTAAGTCTTCGTTGGACTGCAAGAAGAGAGCGTGATGTATGAGTGTCGACGGTAAGGCATTCGAATACATTGCATGGGAGTCCCGCGCCAGAGCGCGATGTTGGAATGACTTGTGAGGAAGTGTGAGGCGGAAGCCGTCGTTGCTGTAGTTCCGGGCCCAACGTAACAGCTTGATCAGGGAGGATTTGCATGATAAGCAGGGTAGAACCCTAAGGGGGCAGCTCATTTAAAAAATCAGCTGTGCGCCGGTGGGGGGAATCAACAGTAATCTGTTCTCAAGATTGCGAGTTCGACAACACGCACCGCGGAGCCTCCTCAGCTCAGCCACGCACCAAGGGACAGTGAATGATTGTTCGGCCCCTTCGCTCTGACCTCCTTGGACTGCATGAGGCTTGGGGCATTCCACTTTGTGTGGGAGGCACGGTGGCGGACTCGTGCGGCAATGTCCGGTAGCAAATGGTGAGAGCCCGATGCGCCTCTGTATGTCGGCATTTCGAATTCACTGGGGTCGAGTAGCGCACGGTAATCCGTGCGGTTGCGCCGACCCACGTCGATCAACGTCGAGTCGCCCCGGCTGGTCGTCGGCTTGGCGCCCACTAGCGTCGATATCGCAAGAGCCACCAAGATTGCATGGTGGGCTCCCGTGAGTTGCCACCGGAGTATCCGTGTGGTAATACTGCGCGTGACGATTTCGAGGCGCTGCCTTTGCAGCAGAAGGGGGGAGGCTCGCTGGGGCCCTGGCCTCGCGGACGCCCTCCGCGCCTCTTCTGTTGCACTGCAGTTGCACGGGGAGGTGGGCTTTGGCCCTGTCGGGCCGCCCCCCCCGCTGCCCTTGCCGCTCGCCGAGGGGCAGGAGGGGGCTGGAGGAGGGAGGAACATCAGAGGAGGAGCAGGTACCGAAACCGCTACACTTCGCTCGTTTTGGGGGGCTTTTTGGGGCTCCTGTGGGGCCCTTGTCGCCACCGCTAGTATTGGTACTTTTTGATTTCCCCAGGCGGGGGGGGACACGAGGGATGTGGCGGACGTGGTGGAGGAATTAGTGGTAAAGGAGAAGGAAGTGGAGGAATGGAAGGAGGAGGGCGGCGAAAGGAGGAGTGTGCATGAGCAGCCAGGCGAAGCGATGCTTCATGGTTGAGTTCGCTAACACATCCGAGTTCGTCGTCGGGTTCAAGATCTTGACGGACTGTGGGGGCGGAGGAGGAAGAAGAGGCGGAGGAGGAGGAGGCGGAGAAGGAGGAGGAGGAGGAGGAGCAGCAGCAGCAGCAGGAAGTTAGAGGGATGAGGGGGAGGGGCGGGACGGGGGGGAGAAGGGGGAGGAGGAGTGACAGGAAGAGGAGGAGGGAGGATGAGGAGGAGGGAAAGGCTCCAACAATTGGTTGTTCTTCTTTCTCTCTCTCTCTCTCTCGTTCCTCCCTCCTCCTTCCTCCCGTTTTCTACCTCCACGTCGTCGTCCTCCTACTTGCTCCAACGAGAAGCTTCTATAACGCCCTTGAGCACCATCAGGATCGCCCAGGACGTCCCAGTGCTTCGTCCGCGAAGACTCGGGGGGAGCCCCATGGCAGGAGGTCTCGTCGCTGCCGCCCGGGCGGCTCGGGCTTCTGGACGCAGAGTGGGTGTCCGATGCGACGCGTCAGGGGCTCAAGTTGCCCGAAACGACCCTCCAGAGGCTCAACCTGAGAAGCAGTCGGCCGTCTTGATTTTGTCTTGGCGCTGTTTTTCTGGGGACCAGTCGAAGGATGAAGCTGAGGAGGGGTAGGCTCGAAATCGACCCTGGTCCTCTCCATGGAGCGCGTTCCGACAAGGATCTCGAGGCGAATGCAGCCGCGGTGACGCCCCCTCCAACCCCCCTCCGAGGCAAAAAGAGGAAGGTGAAACGTTCAAGTCATGTTGGGGGAGAAGACATCGGACCTTTCTGGAGGAAGGGGGGAGGTGAGGGAGGCTGGGCGGGAAGGTGGAGAAGGGAGGGAAGGGGGCGGGCGAGGAGGGGGAGAAGGAGGGGCAGAGAGATCGGGGATTACATCGGCCGTCATCTTATTTCGGGTGACCAGGCGAGCAGAACCCAAAGGCGCCTGCGGCCACAGCATGGCCAGCTGATCGGACCTGCGGGAGGCCTCTCTGCTTGCGTCTTCGAGCCTCACAATATCCTCCCACGCACCTAATGGATCTGCTGGTCAGTCTCGCCCAGCAGGGCTAAGGGCAAATGGGGGGAGGGGTCAGAGGTCCATCGACACAGCGGGGAGGGAAGTGGCACCGCATACCGCCAGTCTGCTGCGATGTGACCACTCAGGTCACCCTGCCTGCACTGGACAGCCGTTTCAGAGCTCCAGAAAGGGGAAGGAAAGGAAGGATGGAGGAGGAGAGGACAGAGGAGGAGGGAGCAAGGAGAGCCACGTCAGGACGCGCCGCCCTTTTACACCCAGCAGTGGGGCCGCAACTTTGCCATGTCCGGGACGTCCAACTACTTCGTCGACGAGGCGGCCATCGGCCAGGGGCCTTGGCGGCCTTCCGCGGCCTACGGCGGCCGCTGACTGGGCGGCGCACACTTCGCCGTCGTCCCTTCTCTCCCTCCGCCCTGGTCCTCCTCCTTCTCCCACCTCGCGCTTGGCGGGGCTCTTTGGATACCTCTCTCGGTGGGCTTCGGGGTGGCGTGCAGGCCCTCTCCAGCTGACTCGTTCCTGCAAGTCGGCAGTAGCCGGCCTGCCAGCCGCCTCTTCTTCAGTGTGGGCACACGTGCGCTCGTTTTTCAGGTCTGAGGCCAGTGGGCTGCACTCTGTCTCGGCATGTTTTTTATATTACAATTAAAAAATCAGACGGTATCAGATGGTCGTCCTGCGCTTTTAGTTTGACTTTCAAGCTGTTCGGCGGTTCCTGGCATTTCCCGGGAAGGCCCAGACGCTTGCGATGTGGAGCGCGTCCATCCTTCTTCTCGTCCTTTTCGTAGACTGTACGAGTAAGACATCCGCTTTCCCCCTCTGCCGGGCCCCGCCTCCATCAAAACCACGACGACCTCTTGTTTGCGATTCGTCGGGTCGTTTTTCGAATGCTGGCGCGCTACGCTAGAACACAACATGTTGTTCGCACAATCGCTATCTATATATATGTTTATACACACATCGACACACCTGTATATATATATATATATATATCAGCCAGCGTTGACTCTAAATAAGTAAGAGGACCGGAGGTGGACGAGAGGAGGATGGGAGGAGGGCGAATGGACGACGGGAGCAGGACGGGAGGAGAACGGGAGGAGCAAAGTTTAGGAATCGCAAGCAAGCGGAAGCAAGCATGCACAAGCGAGCAATATCAAGCAAGCAAGAGCCAGTGATCAAGTGCAAGCAAGCAAGGGCAAGCGAGAGCAAGAAAGCGAGAGCAAACACGCAAGAGCAAACAAGCAAGTGCCATTGGAAAAAGGGGGGTGCCATAGATTAGATTAGACGTCTCAAAACAAGGAATCAGAGGAATCGAGCATGCTTGGAATCCGCAACTCAACAAGCAAGCAAGCAAACGCGCAAACAAGCAAGCAAGCATAGGCATAGGCATGGCGTAGGCGTAGGCGTAGGCATAGGAGTTATGGGGGGGCACTGTCATGGCTATGGCCATGCAAATTAGGGGGGCATCGGAATCAGGGGGGACAACGAAGCAATTAGTAAGTCTTGAGTCCGAACTCCTATAGGGCAAGCCTATCTGGATAATGTACACATATACTGGGATGCAACGGCTGGGAGTCAATTCTGTATAGGCGATGGTAGATCCGCGGCCGATAACCGATCTGGGCGAGTCCAGTTCGGCTTTCAGATTGGGCTTCGTCGCTTTTCGTCGTTTCAACAAAGTCACTCCAGGCGTTGCTTCCGATGTACAGATGTGTATAGGTATTTCCAACGAGGCACACACATAAACTTGTATATACAAACTGTTTTATGTGTTTATATATATACAGTTACACTTGCATGTATGTTCGGCCCTGCCTGCTACAGCTGCAAACAAGACCCGCTAATCCCCAATGTGTTCGGCGCTCCGGACGTAGGTCCCCTACCAAAGGGTTAGTGGTCCTTGCGCCGAATGGCCAGTGCAGGTGTCCGAGTCATCGAGGCCCGCTTCCTGCAACGGGGCGATGTAGAGTAAGTTGCTCCCATGGAGTTTTGGGGTACGGGATTCTGTCACGCACGTGGACTGTACCGCATATTGCATCATGTGTTTTGTTCCTCCCCTGTGGCCCTCACCCCTTTCAAGGTCCATACGGATCCGGTCGATCAGATCCGAAACCGATCTCGGCTTGCCAAATTTGGTTCGGTTTTGATAGTCCGAGATCTGTGCATGGCCCTGCTGAGCATCCTCGCGCGGCCGATTCGGTTCGATTCCGGCTCCGCGCCAATTGGGCCCGAAACGATGCGAGGACCGATCCGATCCAATTTTCCGATCCGACACTGACCTCTCTTGTTTTTCCCCACCCATTGGAAAAGGGATCAGGGAGGAGAGTGGTCGGGAACCGGATGAAGGGGGCGTCTTAGCGAACATTGGGGGCAGCACCTACGAGGCGGGGCCTCACTGGAGGGTTGGCGTTTTCCTTGGGACAAGCCCGCTCGTTGTTTTCATGGCGGGGACGGGGGGCAAGTTTTTCTCTGTCATGTTCAGCACCACGGAGCGGACCGCCCATACCCCAGCCACTTGGGGAGGGCCGATGCCAGGGAAAGCCTCCAGCGCGGGTTGCCCAGCTTTTTGCGACCCAGTTGAAAGAGGTGTCAGTCGCGATTCGTACAGTTACAGCTGAGTCGTGGTTGCGCGCAAACGCGGGTTGTGTCATAATTTGGCGAGCGAACCGATGCTAGGAGGCATGGTGCCAGGCAACGGCCGCTCGCAGGGGGGTCGGTGTTGAGCAATGGGGGGTTTTCGGCGTCTCCCAGGGCACCCGCGGGCTGGACTTCGCGGCGACAAGGCATGTCGTTGACGATGAGCTTGGCGACTATTTGTTTGCAGGTCGTCCCCTGCGTTACCGAAAAATTCGTCCCATGCTGCTCGGACGTTGAAGGCAACCATTCCGCTGCACACCAGGAGCGATGTATTGAATTGTTGCTTGTCACGAAGAAAGCACTGCCGAATCCTCATCAGCACCCGTCCGGGCAACTGGCATGGTAGCGTAGCGTAGCAGTCATTAACGGTTCGAATCGATCCTTGCGAATTTCGGGGTCCAGTGTCTGCCGGCACTCCAGCAAAGAAGTGACAACTTTGCGAAAACGGTTCCACAGCTGACCACGATGCAGCAAATCATATAACTAGGGAGGCACACCCAATTGAGTAAAAAGGGAGATGTGGGGCGAGCGTGCGTTCGCAGTGTTGCGGATGGTTGGCAAAACAAGCCTCGCACTTCTATCTCTCATGAACAGCGAGCAAGAACATGAACGGCAGGAGCGGTTGAAGCACATGGCGGGGTCCAGAGCTGCGGAGCTGGACGAAAGCATGTTGAGGAACAGTTGGCCACATCTTGGCGTTCAACTGACGATGCGTGAAGCAAAAGCTTGACCCATGTATTGGAGATGTTCGGCAAGGACCGATCGAAGTTTCGAGAGTGGGAAATTGGTTGCATTTCTTTTGGTGCAGGTAAAGAGTGCCAAACAGGAAGCTGGATGGACGGAACACTGCCAGATTCCAGCGGAAGAGGTGACACATTCAGGATGTGACGTGGTATGCCTGGACAGCATTCGTACGACAATACCGAAGCATAGTACGTGTTCGACAAGGATGAAATGTTCAATTTGCGCCAGGGTGTATGGAACATCGAACCAGGAAGCTCGAAACCGCGGAGGCTCGCGGTAAACTGCATGGATTGCGTGAGGTGGAAGGACTGGTCGTCAATATATTGAAGTACAAGTGATATCTGGCTGTGACCGGTGACCGGAGTGGCGCGGTCGGCATATATGAATTGGCGATAGATCCCGGAAAGCACAGTGGAGCGCCTCCTGCGCGTTAGCTCTGCAATGCTCGATCGCCGCCCTTCTGTTTTTCACGACGCACGCAGGTGAGGGGTTTGGCGACTGGCAACATTTGTTTCAGGACGCGGGAGTGTCTCCCCAACGAGTTGCGCCGAAAGGTTTAGTTGAAGCCAGGAGATTGGGCCCGCGAGGAAGATAGGGCGCTGGCGCCAAGGACGGTTCCCCCATGGAGATTGCGAGTGTGGGACAGTGAAGTACCCGCTCAAATGACGCAGAAGGAAAGGGGGATGACGTTTCCACCGCAGGACATGGCCAGGACATTTTCTGGTGGGCAAGCGAGACTGACGAGGCGCAGTATCGGACCGGCAGGGTGGTCCAACCACGGTGGATGACGTCGACGCAGTGGGGAATTCGAAAGTTAAAGAGGCATTCTGACTTGCTACAGGTGCGGAGTAGGCAGGCCGCTTGGCCTGCGGTTGCCGAATGGCACGGCAATTTGGAGGGCCCCAAAGGGAAAAAGGGGATGCCCAGGTCGGCAGAGATGTCCGAGGAGATTGCAAGAGGAGGTGGGACATGTCGCGGCAATATCAGGGAGCGTTGCGCGCACGGGCAAATGAGCCACAGAGCGTCTAATCATGCAAAGAACACGAATTCAGTGAGTCGCGATTCATCGGGGGGCTAGCTCGCTCGCCCGCTAGGACAGCCGCATCCTGAGATGGGCCCCGGCGCGAGGCTGTTGCCATGGGCCAACTGGGCGCGCGCTGGGGGGCCCCTGCTGCGCGCGCAAGGGATGGGCGCAGGCGAACCGCAGGAACATGCGCTGCGCGACGCACGGGCGTGACATCCACTGGCGCAGGGCACTGAGCCATCTGGGTGGGAGGTGGCAGTCTTGTCAGAGATGGGCAGCGAAGTTCAACGGGTCGACGTCAATGGCACATCAGCGCGGCGCGCGCAATGCCCGCGGGCGACCCAGGAGTCACGCGCCGAGGGCGCGGCCGCGACGGTTGACTCAGCGGCGCGCGGCGCCGCAGGCCCGCCGAACGTGGGGGCGCACCTCCCCGCGAAGAGAAGGGGGTCATCCAGCGGCGGGCGCCGCCGCTGCGAGACGCGCGAATTCGCGGCGGCGAAGCGCGGCCGTAGGGCGATTAGGCGGGAATTGAGGGCGGGCGAGAGTGAGCGCGCCCATCCAGGTCGCTAGTGTCAGAAGGCGAGGCGACCTCCGCAGGGGGTGTCCAGGGGGGCAGCCGCGCCGCGCTCGGCGGGGGCGAGCGCGGGGGCCCCTGCAGTTGCCCAGGGCAGAAGGCCTCGCGGGAGAGGGCCGCGACGCATGGGCGCGGCGGAACTGTGCACTTCACTAGACGCGGATGAGCGCGGCGGTTTTGCGCAGGAGCACCGGGCGAGGGGCGCATTGCCGGGCGCGGGCAATCACTGACATCGCGCCCGTTGCATCCACCCACGGCCGGGGCCCATCTCGGCGCGCCGTCTTCCTGTCGGGCCCGCTAGCCCCACTAACCGCGGCAGCGAAAACGGAGGAATCGGGGCGAGTGGCCAGGGTGAGGGCGAGGGGGTTAACTAGCAAGTCGCGCAGTGACATGGGCGGCGCCAGGGCGCATGGAGGAGTGAGGGGGCGGAAGCGGTCAGGTGGGTTGCATCTGACCTCGCCGCGGCAAGATCGGGCTCGAACTGCGCAGTGCATGCGGCCTACCGCGTAGGGGCAGGCGCCCGCGTTGCGCGCGGGCCAAGGCCGGGCGAAAGTCGCGTCGCAGACGGAACAGGGAGGTGCCAGAGAAGGCCCTGCGACGCCGGCGGGCCGCGCGCGGCCGACCTGAGAAAGGTTGGCGCCGAGGAGAATGACAGAGGTAGCCGCGTGCCACTCTTGCATTGCGGGCGAAGCCAGTGGGCCTGGGGCCGAGCGATCCGCCGGCATGGACTAGGCAGCTAGAGAGACGTGGCGTTCGCAGCGCGCCGCAGATTCTTGCTGACGGGCGGCGGTGGACCATGCATGCCTGCGCAGATGATGCCGTGAAAGCAGCGGCCCATATAGCTGGGGGCATTAGAATTTGCCCGGTCGGAGACTCAGCTGCTAACGGCCAGGCCCAAGGAGCAAATGGGGCAATGCATAGGCAAGTCAGAGAGATGGAAAGCCCAGCTGAAACAAATGACAAGAGTGAGTTGACCAGGTATCACCTCGCAACACCTTGGGCGGCGTAGCGCGGCTGATTCCCTGCCGACTAGTTTACTATCGGACCTCTAGCATTCCTGGCGACGCACTCGCCGTGGCCGCAGCGAGCCCAGACCAGGGCCGCGAGCTCCGCGTGGCCCTGCGCGCGACAGGCGAGGTAAACCAAAGCTGTTTGCGAGGCAGCGCCGCTGAGATCAGGGCTGGGGGGCCGCCCTGTGTGACCGAAGACCATGTTGCTCGTGAAGTTTACCCTGGACGCGATGAGTCAATGCGACTCGCTCGACCAGGCGGCGAGCGCGGTCGCGTGTAAATGGGGCGTCGAGACAGGCAAACCAGCCAGAACCACGCGCAGCTACCTTGGAGCTCGAGGAGAAAGAGACAAAGAGGCAGAACATCTGGCCGAGAAACTCATGGCCCACAACGACGAGTTTTGTAAAGTCAGAGAGGAGCGACAGGGTGGTGCGTGCGGCGACTTTCGGGGGGGCGCCGAACGCGCGCGCAGTCTGCGTGGCAAAATTTGACAAGTGAGTTCCCCGCTGGGCAGCAATCTTTCTGGCCGCGCCCAGGGAAGGCGGGACATGTAGACAACGTTGCCGGGGCGCCGGGTGCAGTTGTCTAGGGGCTTGCCTGCGTAACTAGAATTATGTCGCGGATGGCGGGGAGGTGCCGGATGTCGCAGGTGGGCGATCGTCTGTGGATGGAGGCGCATCATCAAAGGCACCGCTGCGCGAACCGTTGCTGGCGAAAGCACCTGGCGCCTGTCACTGGCGCTCGGCACGCAGTGAAAGACAGTCGAGCTGCGCGCTAGATCGTCGGCGAGATGGGACAGTGGGCCGAGCGCAATTTTGTCGCGCTCGTCGCTGCCGACCGCAGCCTGTAGAGCTCCCAACCCAAGCAGATCCGCGCGAAGGGTCCGAGGGCTCAGTGGGCAGACGGGGCGATCGAGGAGGCGCGGACTCCGCCCGGCAGCCCGAGACGCCACCGATCCCAGAGGCACCGTGGTGAAGCGGGCCCCGGTCACTTCGTGGCCTTTGAAAGGCGCCCCCAGTCTGACCCCAGATACGCAGGCTACACACAACCAATGCATGAATCGGGGTCTTAGGCAAACCGGCGCTGGAGGAATGCTGCTTGAAAGAATGAGCAACCGCGTGGCCTGCGCGGCGTGAGTGTCCAGGCGGCGACGTGCGGTGGCGTTGACGATTACGGGGCAATTCGCAATAGTTCTTGTTCGTGGATCTGCGCCGCTTCTTGCCAGTGTGACCCCTTGGAAGACCAGGGCCAGGAGCCCGGAGGTAAGCTGCTGGTGACTACAGGAGTCCACGGCATGAGTCGCGCGCGAGATTCGAGGGCGCATTCAGGGCCATCCCCGAAACAGGAACGGTGGCCGGGGGCTCCGGGTGCTTCGTGAGAGCCCGCTCGGGTTGACCGATTGGTCCTTGGCGAGAATGCCCGGGTCTATTTGAGCAACGGTCCCGGAGTGCAGGAGCAGAAACGCGCGAACATTTGGACGACTTGGCTGGGCATGCTGTGGCCTGGCGACCCAGCGGCGATCGGCGTGGCATGTTTTTGCAGCGACATCAGAGTGGCGAGCGATCGCGGCGACTGCGCACGCTGCGCATGAGGCTGCGCTTGAGCACTGAGGTTCCACGCCGCAGACTTAGCGCAGGAATTTGTAGAAATCGCCAACGAGGCCGAAGTCGATTAGAATAGCCTCAATGTGACCGAGAGGTCGGCGATGCCCAGTGACTGGGAGACGATAGGGGGCACCGGGGGTCGCCAGATGCCCGACAACAGTCGACGCCTGAATGCACGGCCAAAGCATTCAGATCGCAGAGGAAAAATCGCGTCGATGAGCGGGGCTACCGCGTCGCAGGGGGCCGTCGCAAGAACGGCGAGGGGGAGGTCCTCTGACAGTCCCACTTGCCCGCGATCGGATACCCGCGAAAGCACAGCGAGCAGACATGGGCAGCGAGGCCTCGCGCCGGCAACGAGGGCCCACGCAGTCGTGACCAGCGAGGAGCGCGCGGAGAGGCCGCGCGCCGCCGCCAGGACAACACCTTCTGGCCGCGACTTGCAGGCGCCAGCCATTCAAGGACGGCGCCGATAATAACCTCGCACACGTAACGGCTTTCGCGAATCTGAGAGCGCGCGCTGGCAGCGACAAGCAGGGTTGCGCTCTGAATGGAGATCAGTACATGGCCGCGCGCGGCCCGGGCAGCATGGTGGATCGCCAGATGCAAGCGAAGGGTACCGCGACGGGTATATTGGACAAGACGAGGTCAAGGTCAAGCCGTCGGGAAGATCGGTGGGTGAGTCGCAGTTCCAAGCCTCCCCACATACATTCCACCTTTTCTGTATCAGTGCGATTGGAATTGCACTTGGTAGCGCATACAGAAAGAGTGAATAGTCTGCCATACGCATAGGCACGGTCTTCTGTGTTGAGGTACTTCACTTTTCAAGTTCCCTTCGCACTGCATTTGTTTACTCAGTGTTCTGCTCGGAGCAGCTTCGACTTGCATACCCAGGTCGAAAGGGGACGGTCTGCTTCTATGCCCATGTGTGACTGAGCATTCCGTCGCATGTGGCTCACATGTGTACGTCCGTTATCCGGCGGCGCCCAAATATCAGCTTACAGTAATATCGCTCATATTTCGTAACGCGAAGCTCGATTATCGTCCGCATCCTTTTTAATAGCTTGCGCGTGGGGGCCGACAACACACATTGGATCGAACGCGTGGGTGGGCACAGGGGTCCAGGGTCAATGGTTGCCTTGGGAGGGTTTTTGTGGGGTTCTCCTTTGTTTGTGGGCCTCCTGGGGCCTTTTTCGGGTGTTCTGGGGTTCCTTTGGGCAGTCAACGGTGCTTTTCTGCCGTCCGGGAAAATTGGACCCGTCAAGAGTCCTCTTGGGGCAGCCTTGCGGCATCTTGGGGCGTTTTTTGGGATCGTCCCGAAGCTCATGTTGGACCATCCTAATCCGTTTTGGGACCACTACTGGGGTGTCTTGGAGTCGTCATGCGGCCCTTCGGGGATACTTTGAGCAATTTGGGGGGCATGAGCTAGTGCTCGGCGTTCCTAGAACCAAGTCTGCCGATGTGTTGACATCGCCCATGGCATAGCTGACTTTCCGATGATGTTGGTCTCTTCGGTGCCACGTGGGAGATGTTCTGGAGCTCTGGCGCGCCGTCTTGGGCCATGTTGGGCCATAATGGTCGTCATTTTGTGTCCCCCCGAAAACGCCTTAAGCCTCTTTTGCATTCGTGGGCTACCTACCCATCACGGACGGCCAGTAGGGCGAGAAGGACCCCGGAAAGTTGGTCAGGAGGGTTTGGAGGACATCGGGGGTTATTTGAGGTGGATTTTGGGTTTCTATCTTTTTTAGGGGGTGATGTACATTCGGGGCGGGAAGGGATATCCATTTGCGATGTGTGTGTGTCTTTCATTTGCGGACCCTCTCCAGGATAGCGTCGCCTGCTTCACGACAGGCCCACTTTGGGGCGAACAGCGTCGTCGGCGGCGTCGTCGGCGTCAGTGTCGGTATCGTTGTCGAGAACCGAGGACCGATGCGCGAAGAGGACGACCAGAGTTTGCGATGTGTTTGACCCACCCTGTGCCTGTTGGGGTTGCCGCGTGGCCACGTCACGACTTCTGACCAAATTCTCGCCAAAACGCACCCCTTGCCAAATCTGGGGGTCGGTCACCGCCGTCGTCGTCGTCGCCCTTGTCATTGCCGTCGGGTGAGGAGGGTTTGGAGGGATCACGGCGGAGGAGGAAAGGGAGGTCGCGTGGCGAAGGAGGGAGGGTGAAACAGGAGGAGCAGGATAATGGATGAGGATCAGGAAAGGAGGTAGTGAAGGGAGCAGGAAAAAGGAGGCGGAGGAGGAGGAGGAGGAGGAGGAGGAGGAAAAGGAGAACCAGAGTATATCCACGATGCGTTTCTGATGCTGCAGTACGCCTGCCCGCCTTAAACTCCAACCGCGCAGCCGCTTTTAAGACTCCACTTCAGTGTGGGAAGTGCCTCCCTCCCTTCGACAGACGAGCGCCCCATGATCTTGCAATGTATGCAAGTGCCCTCTAATTTCAAGAAGTTCTCCCTCCACGCTTCTAGCTTTAAGTCTGGCGTGTCCCTCTACAGGTGGAGTACTCAAGAGTAGTAAGCATAGCCTGGGGACGATGTTTACGGCTCTTCTGACTATAGGTTATTATTTCTGGATGTGTGATTCATTTGTCTTCCAACAACTGCCTGTCGGAAGGCATGCCCGACCTATTTCTAGTTAGAAGGACCGCGACGAGGTAGGACCAGGATGTTCAAGGAAGTGCCAAGTGAGACCCCCGCTTCTCAGAAGAGCTGCCTTCAACATGTACACATGTTCTACAAGGCTTATCGCCTGGCCATCCAACCAAAGGCATGACCAAACGATGTCCTTGGAAGACTAACTTTCCTGCTTCACTGTTCTTGTCGGGAAGCTGCGAATTTGCACAGAAAAAATATTGGGGTCTGTTGCGAACGATGCACCTGGAAACTGCTGAAAGTTTTGGCGGCGAGCGTGCGCGGTGTTAAGGCGAGAAACACATGTTGGAATGGATCCGCCTTTCGGTCGTGTGACCCTCGGAACATTTTAGCACGATTATGCGCGGCGTTGAGGCACAAACCACATGTTGGAAACAATATCCCTCTATGTGTGCAGCCCCTGGAAGTATGTACGACGAGTGTGCACGGCGAGTGCAGCATTTTGAAAAAGGGTCCCCCTCCATCTTCGTATCAGTTCGAACGTTGCCAGGGCGCCGGGTGCAGTTGTCTAGGGGCTTGCCCGCGTAACTAAGTATGTCGCGGATGGCGGGGAGGTGCCGGATGTCGCAGGTGGGCGAACGTCTGTAGACGGAGGCGCATCATCAAAGGCACCGCCGCGCGAACCGTTGCCGGCGAAAGCGGTCACTTTGTGGCCTTTGAAAGGCGCCCCCAGTTTGACCCCAGATACGCAGGCTACACATAACCAATGCATGAATCGGGCACTCAGGCAAACCGGCGTCGGAGAAATGCTGCTTGAAAGAATGAGCAACCGCGTGGCCGGCGCGGCGCGAGTGTCCAGGCGGCGACACGCGACGGCGTTGACGATTACGGGGCAATTCGCATGAGTTCTCGTTCGGGGACCTGCGCCGCTGTTCACCAGTGTGACCCCCTGGAGGACCAGGGCCAAGAGCCCGGAGGTAAGCTGTTGGTGACTATAGGAGTCCACGGCATGAGTCGCGCGCGAGATTCGCGGGCGCATACAGGACCAGCCCCGAAACAGCATGAACGGTTGCCGGGGGCCCCAGGTGTTTCGTGAGAGCCCGCTCGGGTTGACCGATTGGTTTTTGGCGAGAATGCCCGGGTCTATTTGAGCAACGTTCCCGGAGTGCAAAAGCAGGAATGCGTGAACATCTTGACGACTTGGCTGGGCATGCTGTGGCCTAGTGAACCAGCGGTGATCGGCATTGCGTACATTTGCAGTGACATCAGAGTGGCGAGCGATCACGGCGACTGCGCGAGCGGCGCATAGGCGCTGAGGTTCCACGCCAAAGACTCAGCGCAGGAATTGGTAGAAATCGCCAGCGAGGTCGAAACCTATGAGAATAGCTGGGATGTGACCGAGAGGTTGGCGATGTCCATCGACGAGGAGATGATGGGGGTACCGGGGGTCGCCAGATGCCAGACAAAGGTCGGCGCCTGAATGCAGGGCCAACGAATTCAGATCTCAGGTGAACCATCGCGTCGATGAGCGGGGTCACCGCGTCGTGGGGGGCCGTCGCAAGAACGCCGCCCTCAACCTGTACACATGTTCTACAAGGCCTATCGCCTGGCCATCCAACCAAAGGCATGACCAAAGGATTTCCACTGTTGGAAGACTCATTTTCCTGCTTCGCTACACTTGTCGGGAAGCTGTGAATTTGCTCACAAAAAATATTGGGGTCTTTTGCGAACGATGCACCTGGAAACTGCTGAAAGTTTTGGCGGCGAGCGTGCGCGGTGTTAAGGCGAGAGCCACATGTTAGAATGGATCCGCCTTTCGGTCGTGTGACCCTCGGAACATGTTAGCACGATCATGCGCGGCGCTGAGGCACAAACCACATGTTCGAAACAATCTCCCTCTATCTGTGCAGCCCCTAGAACTGTGTCCGACGAGTGTGCACGCTGAGTGCAGCACTATGAAAAAAGGGTGCCCCTCCATCTTCGTAGCAGTTCAAATATTTCAAGACCAATGTGCGAGGCGCTACGGCGAGATGCAGATCCTGAAACGCCCCCGCCCCTCCACCATCATAATTGTTGGAAATTCCAAGCTCCCCGACCACACAGACGGGAGGAAGTCTACTGCGAAACGCCCGGCCCGCTCTACCGACACGTCTTGTGGACAGACGAGGAGGAGTTATCTAGACGTACAAGGGGTGGGTGGACGAGGAACGAGGTGATGCGTAAATGTGAGGAGGAGGAACATGAGGAGGAGAAGAAGGAACAGGAGGAGGAGGAGGAGCAGGAGAGAAGGAGGAGAGAAGGAGGAGGAGGAGGAGCAGGAGGAGGAGCAGGAGGAGGAGGAGGAGCAGGAGGACGGGTCGTCAGGGATGGACAGGGATAGGGAGGGAAAGGAAGGAAGGAAGAGGCGGTGGAGGGTGGTAGAGGAGGGCGAAGAGGAGGGGATTACCAGTATTATCGACATCGCAAGAGTGATATAAACTAGCATGAGCACCGCGGCGAGGCAGAACAGGAGGCCCACCTGCGGAGCCAGCCGAGAAGGTTGCTGAACACGACGAAGACAGCGATATATCGCCAAACAACGTTACACGACACATATAGCAAGCCAGGTCACCCAGAGCGGATTCAAATTGAAGTGTGTGAGGAACGCGCCACGACTGAGAGAACGAGGAAGATGATGCCCACGCAGAAAGCCTAGGCATGTGCGGAGGCCGCGGCGCCACACATCGCAGAAAACACATCCAGATTCACCACAGAGCGGGGACCCAAACGAAGATGACTGCACGATTGTGACACTATGCACGGTACACTGACAAAATCGATTGAGCCATGCTTAAGCGCACGAGAACAGTGCTGCTGAATTTCAATTGAACGCGGACAAACAGTCGACCAAGATAAAATCAACGCAGCCCCCGGCACCCCAGGCTTTCATCCCGACGTGGTATGCAGGAATTCGAGAGTTGTTTGTAAAGGACCGAACCAGCATCAACAGTGATTGCCAGGATTACAATCGATTGAAGAAAGCTCCAGGGATCGCACCCACAGGTGTGGAATCCATACCCAGCTGGTGTAAGAAGGCAACAACAGAAAGCCCAGCACACACTGACAGGGCACACCCAGGCTCCTCCCCGGCACGGTATACTAGAAACCCGAGAACAGCGCCAGGATAGTGCCACAGACGAAGAACGAATAGCTGAAGAAGGCCCCAGCGAAAACATCCCAAGTTTGACAGCTGTGCAGCACCAGGCCGAGACCGCACTCGCCCACATTCGCCCTGCTTCGCCGACGCGAAACGCTGCTCTACTGCGTGTGGCTGCCACGTCAAGCCCCCAAGCGTCCCGTGACGGCGAGGGCCTGGACACGCTGGGGCCCCATCCGAAAGCAAAAATGCGACGGAGAAGTCTCGAGCCCAGGTTCTTCGAGCCAGGGCGAAGAGGAGCGGAGGAGGAGGAGGAGATAGGGGAGGGTAGATCAAGGGAGGAGGAGTCGCCGGGGAAAGAGGATGGTGGAGGCAGGGGGGACGCGAATGGGGGTAAGGAGGAGGTGGATGAGGAGGAGGAGGAGGAGGAAGGGAAGGAGGTAGAGGTCGGATGCTGGCTGAACAAGGGCGGCAGTCATGAACATCAGCTCGATGCGGCTCTGCCTCAACTGGGAACGAGCGCGCAGGCCAACCCAACATGCCCTTCTCTGGCGGGCACGTGCAATTGCCCGTTCTAGGGCTGCCTCTACGGTCACGGCAGCAGGGCAGATATTGAGCACAAGAGGTTGGCACGATTGTACGGTCGGGAATTTGTGGATTGCGTGTCGCTCCCCGGATTCGGGCCCACCATTCTCCGGGGCGATACGCTATCGCCTTCGCGGTGCCCAGGCGTCCATGCGCCGAATTGTTCCCAGCTTCCCACCGCGCGGAGCGCACCGATACGCCATCCGCTTGAAAGGCATAGCGTGTAACCAAGGGTGCCATGGTGACACGCTGTTGCAAAAATTCCTTACCGGAATGGCACACATTTGCGCACAAGTCATACGCGAAGGGCGCGTGGACGCTGACTGCACTGTACAACACTGTGATTCCACGTGCGCTGATCACGCACAAGGTCAGAGCTCAAATGGGCACCAAATGCTTACCCCTGTGCCATGGTTGTCCACTCGTTGCGCAGCTGCCCACAGCGCCTGACATGTCGCTGCGAAACCTACATGTTCATGTTCTGGACAGTTGTGCACCTGCGGAGATCATCTGCGGCAGGTGGTCGGGAAGCC